AAATCACTCTATTCATTAAGAGAATGTAACTATATATCTATCCTAACCACTTTGAATACACAGATACAAAATGGACATTCATCTGTATCCCTTTTATTTTAAAGAAGAAAAAAAAGAAAAAATATAGAATTTCAAAAAAGATAATAGGTGGTTAATGATGGTTAATATATTGTATATTGTTATCTTAAAATTTGTTGCTCAGATTATAAGATACAGGCATGTATAACTGATCAGATAATATAAGTATAAGCCATTTTTTTTAGCAAACTAAAAGAAGTCAGTAGTATAACCCTTTTATATATCTGATATATGTGTCTATTTTCTTTTCTTTTTCTTCTTTTCGCCTTTTACCCATTCCAGTAGTTTGATCTAGTTATTAGCTCAGTATACCAACTATAACTTAGGTTTTGTTAAATTTAAGTTAAAGTGCATCTCAGTTTCACAGCTTACTTTTTTTTAAAGTTTTTTTTTGTGGGGGGCAGGGTCTCACTATGCAGTTCAGACCTGTAGTGATCCCTCTGATTTCTGCCTCCCTAGTGGTGGGGTTACAACTGTGTGCCACCATGCCCGGACTCCATGACTGGCTCAGTGTACCCAGGGGTGGGGCTGGCGTGGCATGTGGTGCCAGGGATCGAACCCTGGCTCCTGTGCTTGCCTAAGCAAGCACTTAGTCCACTGAGCTATATGCGTGGCCCTTCATAGCTTATTTTTTAAGGTATTATTTTAATCTTTCTCTTTACATCTTAACATGGAAAGAGTGCATTCACTTAGCTGGCGTTTCCTGGTAGGACTGTTCTGACATAAGCAAGCTGTCTCCCTCCTGCCATAACTTTTATAAATGTGAGACTCCTCAGGTGGTCTCCTTTTAGGTGGAAGAGATCCATGTGATTCATGGACAACCTTATTTCTCCAAAATGCACTTACTTTTCTGAAAAGAACAAGTTTGTATCCTTATTATTTTATATTCCTTTTCTTTCTGTCACCTAACCTGGAACAAACTTCCAGCTCTTACATTTTTGTTTCTCATGAAAAGGCACTTAGGATTTATCCCACAGTTGAAATGTACGCATGCACACACATGTGTGCATGCACACACATACATGCAATACTTCATAAAATCACAGAAATGTAATGGACTGTAAAGCAGTCTCATCTGATGGATGAGGGACTGGGATGGTAAGGCCAGGATCTAGAA